TGCTTTAACTTCAGTATCATCTGCTCTGACAATGTCAAGGTCACTATTATCTATTTTATCAATGTCCAGATCACTGTTATCCAAATGTTCATCAATTTCGTCATTGTTGTGTTTTGAATCCATATCAAGATTCTGTGTGTCCTCAAGCACCTTAGGCTCAGCACTTTCATGTTCTGTATGTGTTTCTTGTAACTCTTGTTTAATTTTCATATCTCCTTCTTGGTGATCAGTAACATATCTGTCATCAGCTTGACTGCCAATATCAAATGGGTTGTCACACACATCACTGTTGTTTTGTTCTTCTTTGATTTTAACCTTAAACTGTTCTTTATTCATACCAATATCACTTTCTATTTTAATGTCAGTCTCATAATGCTCATTTCGATTAACATTATTTTCCAGTTCTTTGATGTCCAAAGGCTCCATGTTAATTGTATGTTCCTCTCCATTAACAATGTCGATTTCTTCATCCAGTTCTTCTTTTAGATTCAGATCAATCATCTCCATGTTGTCATTGGACTATTGCAATTTGTGGCCCTGCCTCAGTCGTAGAAATGGAATGGATATTCACAGTCAAACAAATTGTTCTTGTGGGAATGGACTGTAAAATATAAAAAAAACATGAGAAATTATATAAGCAGGGGATGTGTACATATACATATTGTTATAGCGATGAAGTTAACATTCACATCAATAAGTCTGTAAAATCATTATATAAAACATGAGATATTTGAAAAGAATATATAAAATAAGAATTACAATTAGAAAACAGCAACTCCACTAAACATTAAGGTCAGAGTGCACTTTGGTGAAATTTCATGACCATGTGCTATTTTCAGATAAACATAACTCATTCCACACATCATCAACATCTTTCATTCTTGCACAAAAGATGCATTAGTGTACCTAGACTATAAATTGAGGGTTGATTATTCTTCAGAATGTTTGAATAACTTGAATATTCAGTGGTTTACTTTTCAAAATTGCAAAAAATTCCAACATGCACCCTGGCCTTAAACCTATAAAATTTGAATCAAATACATCAAGCAGTATCTGAGTTGTCTCCCAAACATACGGACCGATGAACAAATGAACAGACAGAAGAACAGATGGATGGCAACTCTATATCCCTCTAAAACTTTGCTTGGTGGGATAATAACCTCTTGAATCCCAGGCTCTAAAATCGGTTGAAACCAGAGGATTTTTCATTTTTGCCACCTTCTGACATTTTACTACATACCTATACAACTTTAGATGCCTTAGTAAAATTAGACGGCAGAGATCATTTCTACACATTTTATAACTATTTTTGTGTAAATTGGATAAAAATTGTTCAAAAACAAGCAATTTTAGTGAAAGATTTTGTGACAGATTATCTCGTCATGCTGGGTTTCAAGGTCATTTCTGAGGTGACGAAAAATCTTGTCACTCCAAGTAGTCAAGAGGATAATATATGTCACTATTTGATAATAGTCTGTCAAAAGGATAAGAGTGTATCCTAGATATCATAAATGGTTTCTTTTAACCAATAAATAAATAATGCTCATTAAGGTTGACAATTCTTCAAAATAAGCAGACAATTCGATAAGAACAACTACGCATAGACATTAGTGGTGTCAATTAACCGCTTGAGCATTAACCGGTTAACCGGGGTTTTTTACCGGTTAAAGTCGGTTAACCGGCGGGAAATTTGAACTGATAATTTCAAATGAAATCTTCAAATTGGAAAAATGATATATCGGCGTTTATTTTTTATGTTCGTCAAGCTTTACTCTATTCTATGTAAGTAAGTGGGAAAGCAATGTCGCAGGGATTAAAGTTGCTGATTGGATGTTTGTAAGGAATTATCGGACCTATCACATGTATGAGTAGCTCACATGAAACTGACGCTTGAAAAACAAACAGATTAAAATGCAAAGTAAGCGCGGGAAAGCAATGTGGCAGGGATTAAAGTTGCTGATTGGATGTTTGTAAGGAGTTATGGGACTTATGCCATGTATGAGTAGCTTACGTGAAACTGACACCATAAAATCAAATGGATTAGCATGCAAAATAAGCGCGGGAAATAACAGAATTATACACGGTCAACTAACCGCCCATAAAAACACAGACCGGTCAAGGCATTATCGGTGGTTAACCGGTTAACCGGTTAATACTTGACACCTCTAATAGACATAAGTTCACAAGTTGTCACAATGAGCTTATTTCCAAGTTTCGTGTCTCAAACTCTCACAAGCGGTAGAAAAATAATTCCCGTTCACTAAAGTAGCACAATAAATGAATCCAAAGCTTCAAACCTGCAAATAATGGATAAATCCCTACCAAATCGAATGAATGTTTTCATGAATCGCCATGTTTGTTATCCAAGGACGGTTGACTCCCAGAATGCAACATCAGTTAACCGTATTTACTCATGACAGGTTTCAAAATGGCGGAACAGCATTTTGAAAGCTGGCACGTGTCATGTTGCATTCTGGGAGCCAATCCTCCGTTCCGGCGCAATCGGGCGACAAAATCACCTCAACATTTGAAGAGTCGCCATAACATGTGAATATCCAATTCAACTTTTGAAGTTCTTATTTGTCATTAGGGACACAAATTCCACATTATTTGGACTTACTAAGACGGAGAAAATAAAGCACTGAATACACTGAGGTAAGAATTTATTATATGTGCGACAGCGTGTAATTTTCATAGCTTTTGCAATTCTTTATGATTCCCACTGCTGGGTTTTTACAACGCCGTCCTCCCATTATGAGGACGTAAATAAATAGTCATGGACGCAGAAAAAAATTGTTGGTGCGTTCTTGGGACGCATTACTCACCATAGGTTGCAAACAAATGTTATTTTATATGAAAAACGTCCCTAATTGGCGAAAACATATCAGAAATAAAATTGTCCAATGAAAAAAATAGAAAGTAAATTATTTTAGGTCAAACGGCATTTTCTCCAAGTTTAACCCAATAAATCAAGCTTATACAACTTAAACTTAAAAAATATAGTATAACTTACCTTAATAATACTTATTTTGCTGAAACAATATGATAAAACCGGTACATTTTGGTCAAAATGTGGCCGGCTTTGCAAAAAGATTTCAATGTGAGAAGTGATATAAACACTGCCATCTTTTGGATTTTATAGTTAGTTTTTTGCTTAAAGAAATCAGTCTACACACGTGCCATCTATATTAAGATATACAGCTGTGATTACATTGAATTGCATTGACTGGGGTTTAGAATTTGACATGGGATTAAATATGATGATTATTTAGGATATACAAAATGTGAAAATACAAAATATTAAAATTGAAATTTAGAAATGCATCAAGGCAAGCTGTTTAAAGACTTACGGGAAATGCTTAGATTGCTCAATTTTGAAGGTATAAATATAGAACATTTCTGTGGGGAGGCTCAGGCCCCTCTTTCATGTCTTTAGAGTTCGCTTCGCTTGCATGAATTGGGTCAATTGGGTCTATATAATTAATGTTTTTGCAAATAATTTTTAATTTTAGGATAGAATCTGAGTATTATTAATTGAATCATAAAGTCACGAGGTAAAGGGTATTATCATGCCACGCCCTCCTAAAGTTAAGAGGTACCTCCCAGAATGGGAAAACACATACCCCTGGCTGCAGTATGTTGCAGGCCAAGGAATGCGGTGCAGTTTATGCATCAGGGCTGGAAAGAGGAACATTTTCACCAGCCCAAGTGGGTGCAAAGACTTTCAAATGGCCTTGGATGTGACATTCTGTAACGCCTTGTGTATAAACGTTACTTATTCATCATTTACACTTGTACAATCTGACCCCAGGGTCTAAATACATGCAATAAAAACATGATAAAGCAACATAAAGAATACACGTTTATTAAGTGTTTCTCTTTTTTCAATTGGGACCCACTTTTTTCGAGGTCTCCTCTGCCGAAGGCAGCGCGAAGTAGGAGCGTGGCGACTACTTTGCGAGAGACCTCGAACCATTGATCACGTTTGCTCCTGTAATTATTCACTTCTTCACCTCCTTAAAATGTGATTTCAATCAGTTGATCAAATGTTCGGACTTTGACCTCAAATTCAAATATAAATATTTATAAGAAAAAATACTGACTCATTGATATATTTTTAAAAGTCTTTTAAATAAAGTGAAATGAAGCCAAAACAGCTAAAATTATGCAATGTCGTAAAATGGCGTGACTGGAATATGCTGCAATCACCCGTGATGTCAGACACGTATTGCCACATCAACAACTAAACAAACAATTAATATAGACTTCACTGATTGGTTTAAAGATTCTTCGCATCATTTGTGACGTCATAAACATGTTACCAACCAACAACTAAACAAATAACAAATAGGCATATTAGGTTCGTTCAGTGCCAGGCTCTTGAATCAGTTATAAACAGGGATAATCAACAGATACATGAGAGGGTCAGGCATTTTTTTGACTTGGAGACCTCGACTCGAGGAGTTTGCTGCATTTTCTTGTTTTGGGAGGGACCCCAAATTTTTATAACACTGGGTCCCCGGGACTCACTTTTCATAGTCCCTATTGAAAACGCTGCACTGTAAAGGACAAGATGATGTTCCAAATTTCCATTTGAAATACTATTCCACTTCCATTCCATTCCTACTGCATGCAATCGGTCACTCACACACCAACAAGATATCATGATCATTGCCTTATCAAAAATGTTTATGTTTGGAAATGATAGCTCACAGAAGTTGTTTGTCAAATCGATGTAATTAGCCAAAGGAATCGTGCCATGTCAATTTCCCTGCCAGTGCCAGTATTTAATCTATGCCCAATTACCCGTACAAATTGATCGACATTTCTACATGATTCAGTCAAACGATTTTTATAAAACAGAATTATATTGTTTCATGAATATATTGAGTACAAAAAGATGTATTTAAATCACAAAATAGATATACTTACACTGATTAAATGAACTAAATACATAATACAGGTCATTACAAAGACCAATTTCAGCCATGTTGGATTTCTGCGCCATACTTGATGACGTCATTACTTCGATGCCAAGAACTGATGACGTTTTGTGCAAGTGGGAAAATAAATTGAAAGTTTCTACATTTTAGAGAAGAATTCAAGAGAAATCGATGCTGTATCCTGTAGCTGAATAATTCATTATCATGAATACATTTGTGGTAAGTGTATTTGAACGTTAATTATTTCATATTTGCTTTTTGAACATGTTGCACAAACTTCATGGAAAAATGAAAATCAAAATTGATTCAATTTCTTGATCAACTTCAACTTCAAGTCTGAAAGTTCCAGTGAAACTTCAGCAGATGACATCTGATCACATAAATAGTGATTAATCTAAACTGACCCCGAACTAGAACAACTCCTGTACTTCCAGGTATATGTCAGTCACAGGCAATGGAACATAGAAATAATCCCCCCCCCACTCTCTATATATAAGTAAAATTTTATTTTACTTATATATAGAGAGTGGGGGGGGGATTATTTCTATGTTCCATTGCCTGTGATGTCAGTTGTACATTCATATTTCTCAATGTTATTGCGTGTGTATTTTGTGAGTGTACGTCACCACCCTATGCAGACAGAGCCTGTGGGAAATATTGGGTGCGGAGCAAATGAGCGGAGGGTGCGGAGCTAACGGTTATTTTTGAATTTAAATTTGGGATATTTCTGAAACTAAGCCGTTTTGGGACTTCAAATATACTAAGATATGTGTATTTGACACCAAATATCAATACAATTGTGAAAATAGTAGCGCAATTCATTCTATAGCGACGCAGTGTGCCTTAAACCTTTCCCAGACCTATATATTTTGAAATTATCCTTTTAATACTGAGTCCCCAGCATTCATAAAAAATGGTGTTCAAGGTGCACTATCTATACAAATTATTTTTGCATCTTGGAAGCCAGGCAGTATCTGTGTGATTTTATAAAAATTCGGAAATTTTTTCAGATATGAGCCCCCTCTAAATATTGGGTGCGGAGCAGCTCCATAAACGTAGCTCCGCACCCAATATTTAGAGGGGGCTCATATCTGAAGAACATTTCCGAATTTTTATAAAATCACACAGATACTGCCTGGCTTTCAAGATGCAAAAATAATTTGCATGGGTAGTGTATCTTGAACACCATTTTTTATGAATGCTGGGGACGCAGTATTAAAAGGATAGTCTCAAAATATATAGGTCTGGGAAATGTTTAAGGCATGCTGCGTCACTATAAAATGAATTGCACTACTATTTTCACAATTTTATTGATATTTGGTGTCAAATACACATATCTTGGTTTCAGAAATATCCCAATTTTAAATTCAAAAATGACCGTTAGCTCCGCACCCTCCGCTCATTTGCGCCGCACCCAATATTTCCCACAGGCTCTGTCTGCATAGGGTGGTCACGAGTGAATTTGAAAATTAGATTGCATTTGAAGCGTTCTGGGGCATTTCAAAATACCTAATTCCAACTAATATGTACTAATAAGATGTACATTATTGGCCAGTTTTATCCAATGTTTCATTCTACGAACCTGTTTTGAATGATGGCATGACGAAATAGGTGCTTCTTGAAAATAAAACTCATTTGCGTTAGTGTGTGGGAAAAGTATTTGGGAATTCAATATAAAAAATCAACTTTTCTCTAAATTTTGAGAGAATGCCATGTGATGTTTTATGTGTAATGTACATGATGCTACGCAATTGTTTATGCGCACTCTCAGTTCATAATGACGATGCAGTGTTCTCAATCATTTTTAAAATCCTGATCACTGATCAATGTCATAGATTTACATGTAGATAGTCACCATGCGCTGATGACTTTTAATGTCAGTGTTTTGACTACATGTACATCAGATAGGTCATTAAAATCTTGGACATGTAAACAAAGTCCTACAGCTGTCATTGGTCTGCTTTGTCAAGTCAGTGATTGTGTCAACTCCATTCTAATTCTCAAATCAAAAAATTGATAATATCAATAATAGATGTAACTAACAATATGCCATTTTTAAAATATTTTAGCTTGTGATAAGACATACATGTACACCCACTAGGGTGTCATTATCACTGATATGTATATATTTTTATATGATTTTAATAGATAAATAAAAATAAATAAAAAAAGTCTCTGATCTGAATGGATTACAATCCCAAGATGTAATATACAACCAGCTCTGAACTGAGGAGTGGTTAATTTGCAAATTACATTAAACACTTGTGAGATGTTCCATTTATAGAGGTGTTCCACTTTACAGGTTTCACTGTAGTATCACTATATGAAGATGTAGATATGTAGAATTATGAAGAAGAAAATAGAGACTCCCTTTTGTTGTAGACTCACCCGAGTGTGCGCATGAAGGGGACAGAGAACAACTTCAACATTCTGGAGTGTTTCATTGCTAGCTGTGAATTCAAATACCCTCACATGCACTGTCCATTCTGTGTGAAATCTGAGGCCTACACTGATCCAGTCATACTGAGAGCACATTACAGGGTCAAGCATGTCGATAAAGCACTAGATTTTGCAGGTATTTTTGTATTGTTAGAAAATATAAATCATATGTACAGTATGACATTGTTTTTTTATTTTCATCCTGAAATTAATTTTAGTTTCCTCAGGGGTACAACTGGAAATACTGGACGCAGACCTGCATTTTTGATCACATTACAAAAAATTTAGATGAATGACTGTCATTTTATAAGAATTGTGTGTTCCTCAATGTACTGGGAATCTGACGAGCCTGTTTCTAGACAAGGAAACACTGCAAAACTATCACAGGCTACCAAGTAAAATCACACCTACCTCTTTCCGGATCGAAAATGGAGGTCTGCGTCCATTATTTCCAGTTCCTTTACCATCTTTTTTAAAATTAAGTATATCTGCCTGTTCAGGAATTTAATATAGTACAGTTCTCCAATTGGAGTCTCATATGATTTACAGCTCATTCCAAACATGGTTTACATTTTTCAGTTTTGCACAAAGATGCACAAATACATGTACACCTATTATTACCACTTTGTCGGGCCTGTTCTAGGGGTATTAGTTCTAGTTTAGAAGGCTTTTATTTACTATATTGACCCGAGCAATAAGCGACATCATCGGCCCTTGATCCAATATTTCACTATGTTGCCCTTCATGATGTAATTGTACTATAAGATGATCATTAGCGCATTAAACATTAAACATGCTTTACTGCTTTATAGGTCTGAAGATTCTAAGATGCTGTGAAAGCTGTGATATTGTAGGGGCAATCAAAGGAGAGAAGAAATTCAAAGGGGCGCACTGGCACTGTTATAGATGTAAGAATGGCTTTAATAGGAGAGATGAGGCGATTAAACATTACAAGACTCACTTTAGGAACCCACAGACCACCTTCCAGATACAGGTTACTCAGGTATGCTTAACAGGTTGAATGTATAAGGGTTAAGTATGGGGAGGTTCTGGATACAGGGTTTATCCAGAGGGAAATAAAATAACTTTAGGAACCCACAGACCACCTTCCAGATTCAGGTTACTCAGGTATGCTTAACTGGTTGAATGTATAAGGGTTAAGTACTGGGAGGTTCTGGATATAGGGTTTATCCAGAGGGAAATAAAATATGAACTTCTTTAGGAACCCACAAACCACCTCCAGGTTATCCAGACATGTCCAGGTGGTTGAATGTATAAGGGGTTCGTACTGAGAGGTTCTGGATACAGGGTTTAACCAGAGGGAAATATGTGTACAGTATGCCCAAATTGATCAATTCAACCTTATTTAATAATGCTAAAACAAACCATCTGATTGGTACATTGTGCATTATACGCGTGACGTGTTTATATATATTTTCTGTCTCCTCCTGAAATACAAAATTTCAATGGCGCAATTTTTCTAGATTCGACGCGAATCATTTAATGAAAAATAATATTTGATGTTTGAAGTAAAATATAAACTACACATGATTTATCAATAATCATTTGTGTAAAAATTCATCTTGCAAAAGTCATGAGGTAATGAGGTTATACCATAAATAATTGTGAACATCGTTGAACCCAAATAAGAAAAGATTTGACCAATTTTATTGTGGAATCAAAAATTTTGATTTGATCAAAAATTCCTGTAGATTTTACTACTCATTTACAACTGAGCCTACAAATAACAAAAGTTCGACCTAAATATCCTTGGAAAATAAATGCCAAATCTTATTTTTTGTGATGTATAATTTCAGGAGGTGAACACACCATACAACACCAGTCCGTTGCTAGGGGAGACAGCAGCAGCAACTGAAGAAATCTCAGTCTCTGCAGAAGACATCATGGTCAGCTCTAATACAATACACCCTGCATTAACTGAGGCTGTCATGAGCCAAGAGAATTGTAAGCACATACATAGGGGTTTTCATAATGACTGTCCCCCATCATTTCCCAATCCTGTCATTTGTAGATCATATTGTAAAGTAAAATAAAGAAACCATAAAAACTGAAACTATTTCCCAATGCTACATAGCATACCCTCATACAAAAGTATGCGTTATGTCACAAAGCACATATTCCATAACTGAGGCCCACAAACAATTTTTAATGTCTAGAGGTTTTGAGCATATTCTCCATATTGTAATTTTTTTTTATCATAACTTTATGTTGTATATTTGATTGATTAAGTGATTGTTCCATTGTGTTTGCACAACCAATAATTGCTGTCAATAGGTGTCACTACTATCAGCCTCGTTTTGAAATATAGATTGAATACAGAATATGGAAGTTGTGTTCACTTATTACTTTGGGATATTAATAGACATTTGTATCTATAATTGACATATCCTACAATAGAATTTGGTGTTTCTTCATTTCAGCAAATCCTGAATATAGATGTTGCATATTTGATTGATTTAAGTGATTGTTCCATTGTGTTTGCACAACCAATAATTGATGTCAATAGGTGTCACTACTATCAACCTCGTTTTGAAATATAGATTGAATACAGAAGGGATAACTCCACAGATGGCGCTAGTGAAAAGGTAGAAGACAAAAAATCTAAATTTGAAATCGGGATGATGGTTGATTGAAATCAATATTTATCAGTGCAATCACCAGTGAAAATGTACAGATTTTATATTTTATTTTGTTTATCTCGTGTGTATATAATTTTACAAAAAGTATGGCGAAATGATTCGGTTCACTTCAAATATTTGACTTTTTGTGACGGTGGTCTTGAGTTTGAAATCTATTGAAAATTGTTTAAAATTCGGATAGATGGCGGAAAAAGCAGTCATATCTTTTTTTCTCAATGGGTGTTCTATGCAATTTTTGTTTTGATTTGAAAGGGGACATATGGAGCTATCCCGTGGTATATGGGGTTATGTACCGAAAATTCCTCGTTTTTTCATAATCAATCCAAAGATTTCAATATTTTCACATTGGATTACATTACAGCATTTATCTGTGGAATTGTCCCTATTAGCAACATAAGAAATTACTAAAACTGCTATTATTTGGCTCGAAACCTCTCAGAATAAGAGATATGTGACGTGAAATGTTTATTGGACGATGGCCCATAAGGATCTGATCGGAAGAAACTAAAAAATAATGCTGAATCAGCATTTTTCTTTTTTTGACTTCAAAATTACGGGTTTTGACGATTATTAGGCACTGTTTGGCATTAACCATCGGAAAGTTGCCTGAAATGTCATTGTTTGTGGGCCTGCGAACTGTCATATAAAATATTGAATATTTTTTGCCATATTTTGCTTGGTAAAGGATGTATTGTAACATTTTTAGATGTCAAAATTTCTCAGCCTAATTTTTCCGAGAGATGTCAACATATTTGAACGAAATAAATGGCTGAATTTGATTTTTTAAGGCTACAATTGGGAATAATTCCACGAATGGTATCTAATTAGCCAAAATTAATCTATAATTTTGATATAAGAGGAAGTTAAAGAATAGAAAACCAGTGAAAACTGACTAATTTAGTCAGCTTTTGGCTAATTTTGCCCAAAAATTGGCCAAATGAATGTGTCATGGTCCAGTGATTTTTGCCAATAAAACACTTTGATCAATATAAATAAGTTTGCTCGACTCTTTGGAAGCTCAATTTTATAGATCCAAGTTAATGTAACCATTTAAATGAAGAAATGTTGAATTCTCAAGAAAAAATTTGGGCCTAAATTCGAACCACCCCAAGGTTAGTTAAGTACCCATAAAATGCCCAATTGTCTATATATCATTCTTAAACTGCACAAACAATCTTGAAATTCTTCATTCTTTCATAAAAATATCATTTTTCACCAAAAATCATCGAACCATGGCACTATTAGGGATAACTCCACAGATGGCGCTAGTGAAAAGGTAGAAGACAAAAAATCTAAATTTGATTGATTGAAATCAATATTTATCAGTGCAATCACCAGTGAAAATGTACAGATTTTATATTTTATTTTGTTTATCTCGTGTGTATATAATTTTACAAAAAGTATGGCGAAATGATTCGGTTCACTTCAAATATTTGACTTTTTGTGACGGTGGTCTTGAGTTTGAAATCTATTGAAAATTGTTTAAAATTCGGATAGATGGCGGAAAAAGCAGTCATATCTTTTTTTCTCAATGGGTGTTCTATGCAATTTTTGTTTTGATTTGAAAGGGGACATATGGAGCTATCCCGTGGTATATGGGGTTATGTACCGAAAATCCTCGTTTTTTCATAATCAATCTAAAGATTTCAATATTTTCACATTGGATTACATTACAGCATTTATCTGTGGAATTGTCCCGAATATGAAAGTTGTGTTCATTTCTTACTTTGGGATATAATAGACATTTGTATCTATAATTGACATATCCTACACTTTATTTCCATAAATCAAATAATAATAATACATACATATGAGCGGCTTTGTTAAAAAAACATTATAAGCCACTTTACAACATTGTATTGTATTGTATTGTAATTAATTGTCTAAGTGTAACACCTTTGGTACTCTAAAAATTATTCAACTTGGAAGGTGTTTGAGAGATTCATTAACATTAAGTCAGTTGTCAGGTGTTCCATATCTACAGGTGTTTCAATATACAGGTTTCACTGATTGAAATTGAATCTGAATCATTTTTCCTGAAACTTAAAGGGTGGAGCAGGTTGTTGAGTGAGAACCCTAAATTTACTTTTACAATACTTAGAGACATCATCTATACTAATTCATTGCAGCCATTCTAAATGCATCCACTGAAAGCCTGGAGTCAAGCGGACCCAAATCAAGTGACCAATCAGTGGCAGCCAATGAGACTGTGACATCACATGCAGAACAACAACAGCAACAACATCAGACTATGATTATCATACAAGGAGAGGATGGTCAGATGTTACCAATGAGCGCATCTGACCTCACAGCCATTAATACAGAGGTAAGTTTAAATGGGAAAGTGGGTGAAGGCTATGATTATTATATGAGGAAAGGATGGTCAGATGATACCAATGAGCGCATCTGACCTCACAGCCATCAATACAGAGGTACGTTTAAATGGGAAAATGGGTGAAGGCTATGATTATTATACAAGGAGTATATGGTCAGATGTTACCAATGAGAGCATCTGACCTCACAGCTATCAATACAGAGGTAAGTTTAAAGGGGAAAGTGGGTGAAGGCTATGATTATCATACAAGGAGAATATGGTCAGATGTTACCAATGAGCACATCTGACCTTACAGCCATCAATACAGAGGTACATTTAAATGGGAAAGTGGGTGAAGGTTATGATTATTATACAAGGAGAATATGGCCAGATGTTACCAATGAGCACATCTGACCTTACAGCCATCAATACAGAGGTAAGTTTAAATGGGAAAGTGGGTGGAGGCTATGATTATTATACAAGGAGAGGTTGGTCAGATGTTACCAATGAGCGCATCTGACCTCACAGCCATTAATACAGAGGTACATTTAAATGGGAAAGTGGGTGAAGGTTATGATTATTATACAAGGAGAATATGGTCAGATGTTACCAATGAGCACATCTGACCTCACAGCCATCAATACAGAGGTACATTTAAATGGGAAAGTGGGTGAAGGCTATGATTATTATACAAGGACAATATGGTCAGATGTTACCAATGAGCACATCTGACCTCACAGCCATCGATACAGAGGTACATTTAAATGGGAAAGTGGGTGAAGGTTATGATTATTATACAAGGAGAATATGGTCAGATGTTACCATTGAGCACATCTGACCTCACAGCCATCAATACAGAGGTAAGTTTAAATGGGAAAGTGGGTGAAGGCTATGATTATTATACAAGGAGAATATGGTCAGATGTTACCAATGAGCACATCTGACCTCACAGCCATTAATACAGAGGTAAGTTTAAATGGGCAAGTGGGCAAAGGCTATGGTTATTATACAAGGAGAATATGGTCAGATGTTACCAATGAACACATCTGACCCTACAGCCATTAATACAGAGGTACGTTTAAATGGGAAAGTGGATGAAGGCTATGATTATTATATGAGGAAAGGATGGTCAGATGATACCAATGAGCGCATCTGACCTCACAGCCATCAATACAGAGGTACGTTTAAATGGGAAAGTGGATGAAGGCTATGATTATTGTACAAGGGGAGGATGTTCAGATGTTACCAATGAGTGCATCTGGCCTTACAGCAATCAATACAGAGGTAAGTTTAAATGGGAAAGTGAGTGAAGGCTATGATCATTATACAAGGAGAATATGGTCAGATGTTACCAATGAGCACATCTGACCTCACAGCTATCAATACAGAGGTTAGTTTAAATGGGAAAGTGGATGAAGGCTATGATTATTATACAAGGAGAGGTTGGTCAGATGTTTCGAATGAGCGCATCTGACCTTACAGCCATTAATACAGAGGTACGTTTAAATGGGAAAGTGGGTGAAGGCTATGATTATTATACAAGGAGAGGATGGTCAGATGTTACCAATGAGCGCATCTGACCTTACAGCAATCAATACAGAGGTACGTTTAAATGGGAAAGTGGGCGAAGGCTATGATTATTATACAAGGAGAGGATGGTCAGATGTTACCAATGAGCACACTGACCTTACAGCAATCAATACAGAGGTAAGTTTAAATGGGAAAGTGGGAAAAGGCTATGATTATTATACAAGGAGAGGATGGTCAGTAATTAAGTATTACAATTTAATTTGTACTAAAACTTGTAATCTAAAAGTTTAATTTAATGTATGTAAATTGACTTGAGTACTGTTTCATACTACAGATTGATGTGTAATTACACCTGTAATTTAAAAGTGTGTTTCGAATGTATGTAAATTGACTTGAGTACTTTTCCAAATTACAGTTTGACTTGAGTGAAATCTTACTGAAGAAGGGTGAGCTTGAACGTAAAGTGGAAAGTCTTGAGAGAAGAAATGAACAACTTGAGATTGAGAAATGTGAAACAGAACAAAGATTAACTCTGGAAATCAATCAACTTCAGTCCCAGGTAATCCAAAGATTCTGTCATATACTGTACAACGTGAAGTCTATTGGTTGGTGTACATTGTTTACAGTTCATTTCTCTATAGGCTAGTTACAAGTCCATGCCACCCTCTTGTTGGAGGTTAGATAAATAAAGCAATAATAACAAAGATTAACTCTGGAAATCAATCAACTTCAGTGCCAGGTAATCCAAAAACACTGTCAGTACAACTCAACGTTAACTCTGTTGGTTGCGTGGTGACAATGTTAACAGTTCATTTCTCCATATATTGCTAGTTACAAGTCTATGCCACCCTCTTTGGGGAGGATAGATAGATGGAGGGAGACTTAATTTTTCTTTATTGTTTAGCCCCTTCCCCTGCTTTCCCACATAATAAAAAGTGAAAATGTTGATTTGCCATTCTGTTGAAAATCAGTCTTATGTAATCCTTATTACCTTTTTTTAACGAAAATTTCTTTGTTCCACTCTGGGTTATGACAATTGGACTCCATTACTAAGTGGGAAATCAAAAATTACACTCGCAACAGAAAATAAAATTTTTAACTCAATATTTTCACTTTCATTACCAGACTTCAGTTAATCCATGGCTAAAAAGCTGAATGAATTGTGATATAACATCAAATTTCTGTGAATGACACATTATTATTGGTTTATATTTTAGGTCCAAATGCAGGCGCATGACATAACACTGCTGCAAGAAAAAGAACAGAACTTAATCAATCAACTAAGCATCCCATTGGATGAAAAGATCCAATCCCTCATAGCAGAACTCCAAACCAGGCACACAGACTTGATACATCAACAGCTTGGTGAAGTGAAACGCACATATTGTCAGCGTCTTGGGAAGGACATCCCAATTTCCATAGAAACAAATAATTTAAAGACTGTTCTCAAAGAAACAGATGTTGAGGACTCAAGAGAAATGGAAACGGTTGAGTTTACTGTGACTGAGAACATTAATGAAGAGACACAAGAGAATGTGGACATTGTTGGGACTATTGATGATGTAAGTGTAACACAAAGTGATGATGTCACAACTGAAAATGATGATGTCACCACTTTTGATGGTGATGTAACAACAGGACAAAAGAGAAAACCTGGGTCATCACCTGGGATAGTGGGAGCAAAAAAGAGAAAATCTTGACTTTGAATGTTTTTGTGCTGTTGTATGTGTTCCTGTATTAATGGTTTGAGAAACGTTTGAAAACTGGATATGTATGTGAATCTAATAAAGTACATTCAGTGTGGAAATCATGGATAAAAAACAAGTGTATTTTGTGGGGTAAAATGTATCTTTAACTCCCCAGTAATAGAGTAACCAACGGTTGCACATCACTGAACCCTGTGGAAAATATATTAGGATATTTTGGCCAAAATAACTAGAAAAACAGCAACTCCACAGAGTAGTAAATCCCACCTTAACTAAAATTTTTGACCCTATCAATGAACTGGTATTTGAGTTAATGCCTGAACAGATGAACGAACAAATGGACGAACAGACTGCTTCTCTACATTCCTCCCAAACTACATTCGCTGGGATAATAAAATGAGGATTTAGTGCCCTGTTGAGAAAAAAACAATTGAGAGATCACTCACTGTCATCCATGATTATTATGTCACCACTACCAGAAGTGGTGACATATTGTTATAGTCTCCGTGTTCGGTGGTTGGTGTTCAGCGTCCGGCAGTTTTTGTTTGGCATTCAGCATCTTTTACAAATGTCAGGTCATGACATTTTGCAGGTAAATGCCTATTTGAATTTGTTGAATGTTTTAAATGTATATGTACTAAGTACATTATTAGTGCAAACACCCCATTTAAGTGTAAATATACTAAGTACACTGTACACTAGTGCACCCACTCAATCATTGGTTTTTGTCTACATTTCACTGGAACATTTGTAATCATGGGAAACACAGTTAAATGTAAAAAACAAACATTTAATATTAGTTATAAGTAATAGCAGTTTAATTCATGATAATTAAATTCAGTACAGTAAATTCCGTACAATGGAACAATTCAGTACAATGAACTCAGTATAGTCTAAACAAAACATTACATGCATATAAAATAAATGAACTGTTTTATAAAAAATTTGGCAAGCCTGGAAATTAAAGAAATAATTTCATAAATGAATCATTTATGGTAGTCCATATACACCAACATGGTGTAAAATATGATACAAAACTTATAAATGCAACGCCAACATAACAAGGTAAATAGCCTACACAAATTGCATAATCAATGTGGTATAATAAATGTGGTATAATAAATGTGGTACAAATAAATGAAATAATGTGGTACAATCAATGTGGTATAATCAATAAACCAGTGCATTTTAGAAAAAATTTCAATATTTTTTTTATCTTATTCAGGTTTATCATGTATATACCATGATAAATTAAATTTTGAAATTAGACAACATAAATTTTGTTGTTCGAAATGAAAAAAATCTGAGATAAAATTCACAACAGACTGAAAAAATCTATGGATTCCTATTTGATGCACAAACTAACTAATGTAAAGTTTGAACAATTAATGACATCCCATGTTCTTGAACAACGTGACATCGCTGATGTACTTAAACAACATGACATCACTACTGCATTTGATTAAACTGCATAAGCAAAATGTCTATTAATAAATTAATGAATGTACAATGCGATTTAACATCTTAAAAAATCAAATATAAGATGAATGGAAAAAATGATCAATTCTTAACATTTTTCTAAACTACTTTCAAATATCCGAATTATGAAGTTAAAAACCGGAAAAATCAAACAATGCCGTCGTCATTTCAATTACAAGTTAATTGTGACTAAATCTTTGTTAATGTTAATTGTTCAGACCACTAGACTTCACTTCATGCATTGTTTAGACCACAAGCTTTATAATATTTCTTCATCCTGAAAATTACTATTTGGTTGGTGATTGTTTGTTGGTTACATTAATATATTCACAGGGACAATGTTACATAAATACAACCTATACACATATGGAATACTTTTTGCAAGTAAATGATACAGATAATACAAATAATATAATACACATTACAGTACAATACTATATAGTTCAGTTCAGTTTAGTACAGTTCAGTTAAGTGAAGTACATTTATGGTACAGAGTACTGTTCAGTATGATTCAATACAGTTCAGTACACTGAGTACATTTCAGTACAATGTGAGTACAGTACAATACAGTACAGTACAGCATCGATACCCATCATATAAAACATATTAATACCCTTTACTCATAAGAAACAGAACTCACACAGGTTTCACTGTACATTAAAATAAATACTACTACCTTTTATATTACATTTTATATTATTGAATTACATTTTGTGTAACCATGGTGATGATTAAGTTATGTGTAATAGTATATCACCAGAAATTTAGAAACTTATGGTAATAATTATTAATACGTAATAAAATCAGCAAAATCATCTTAAAATATAGAGATTTCAATAACATATCGTGTAACCATGGAGATTGTAGATTTATGTGTAATAGTATATCACCAGAAATATAGAAACCTATTTTGGATATACTTTTACACCCAAATCAGCAATAACAAACATTCAAATTTTGGATTTTTTTGCTTAATCATGGTTATATCTCAAACCCCTGCAAATGGAAAACAAGGCATTAACATGACAAAATGTCACCACCTAGTTGCTCACAATATTATGAGTTCAAACTTAATATAAGTCAGATTTGAATTTCTGAGAACTTGTTAAGTCAAATTTGAACTTCTGAAAAGATGTAGATGATTTTGAAAAAAAAATTTGGTCAATTTGAAGCAAGTTGAAAACAGACCTTTTTGACCTTTTTTGACCTTGAGAAGGTCATTAAAGGTCAAATGTCAAATCTAAAGTCAGATTTGAATTTCTGAGAACATGTAGATGATTTTGAAAAAAGAAATTAGTCAATTTGAAGCAAGTTGAAAAAAGACCTTTTTGACCTTTTTTGACCTTGAGAAGGTCAAATGTCAAATCTAAAGTCAAATCTAAAGTCATATTTGAATTTCTGAGAACATGTAGATGATTTTGAAAAAAAAGTTAGTCAATTTGAAGCAAGATGAAAAAATACCTTTTTGACCTTTTTTGACATTGAGAAGGTCATTGAAGGTCAAATGTCAAATCTAAAGTCAGATTTGAATTTCTGAGAACATGTAGATGATTTTGAAAAAAAAATTTAAGTCAATTTGAAGCAAATTGAAAAAAGACCTTTTTGACCTTTTTTGACCTTGAGAAGGTCATTGAAGGTCAAATGTCAAATCTTAAGTCAAATCTTAAGTCAGATTTGAATTTCTGAGAACACATAGATGATTTTGAAAAAAAAATTTAGTCAATTTGAAGCAAGTTGAAAAAAGACCTTTTTGACCTTTTTTGACTTTGAGAAGGTCATTGAAGGTCAAATGTCAAATCTTAAGTCAAATCTTAAGTCAGATTTGAATTTCTGAGAACATGTAGATGATTTTGAAAAAAAAATTTAGTCAATTTGAAGCAAATTGAAAAAAGACCTTTTTGACCTTTTTTGACCTTGAGAAGGTCATTGAAGGTCAAATGTCAAATCTTAAGTCAAATCTTAAGTCAGATTTGAATTTCTGAGAACACATAGATGATTTTGAAAAAAAAATTTAGTCAATTTGAAGCAAGTTGAAAACAGACCTTTTTGACCTTTTTTGACCTTGAGAAGGTCATTGAAGGTCAAATGTCAAATCTAAAGTCAGATTTGAATTTCTGAGAACATGTAGATGATTTTGAAAAAAAAATTTAGTCAATTTGAAGCAAGTTGAAAAAAGACCTTTTTGACCTTTTTTGACTTTGAGAAGGTCATTGAAGGTCAAATGTCAAATCTTAAGTCAAATCTTAAGTCAGATTTGAATTTCTGAGAACACGTAGATGATTTTGAAAATTTGTTTTAGTCAATTTGAAGCAAGTTGAAAACATACCTTTTTGACCTTTTTTGACCTTGAGAAGGTCATTGAAGGTCAAATGTCAAATCTTAAGTCAAATCTTAAGTCAGATTTGAATTTCTGAGAACACGTAGATGATTTTGAAAAAAAAATTTAGTCAATTTGAAGCAAGTTGAAAACAGACCTTTTTGACCTTTTTTGACCTTGAGAAGGTCATTGAAGGTCAAATGTCAAATCTAAAGTCAGATTTGAATTTCTGAGAACATGTAGATGATTTTGAAAAAAAAATTTAGTCAATTTGAAGCAAGTTGAAAAAAGACCTTTTTGACCTTTTTTGACTTTGAGAAGGTCATTGAAGGTCAAATGTCAAATCTTAAGTCAAATCTAAAGTCAGATTTGAATTTCTGAGAACACGTAGATGATTTTGAAAATTTTTTGTAGTCAATTTGAAGCAAGTTGAAAACAGACCTTTTTGACCTTTTTTGACCTTGAGAAGGTCATTGAAGGTCAAATGTCAAATCTTAAGTCAGATTTGAATTTCTGAGAACACATAGATGATTTTGAAAAAAAAATTTAGTCAATTTGAAGCAAGTTGAAAACAGACCTTTTTGACCTTTTTTGACCTTGAGAAGGTCATTGAAGGTCAAATGTCAAATCTAAAGTCAGATTTGAAGGTCAAATGTCAAATCTAAAGTCAGATTTGAATTTCTGAGAACATGTAGATGATTTTGAAAAAAAATTTAGTCAATGTGAAGCAAGTTGAAAAAAGACCTTTTTGACCTTGAGAAGGTCATTGAAGGTCAAATGTCAAATCTAAAGTCAGATTTGAACTTCTGAGAACATGTAGATGATTTAGAAAAAAATTGAAGTCAGTCTAAACAGTATTTGTTAAGTTATAGGAAGTTGTAAGAAATTGTTACAGACGCCGGACACCAACCACCGGACGCCAACCGCCGGACGCCAGCCAACCGCCGGACGCCAACCACCAACCGCCGGACGCCGTCGCAAAAAAAAACGGAGACCATAACAATATGTCACCACTTTTGGTGGTGACATAAAAAACGGAGACCATAACAATATGTCACCACTTTTGGTGGTGACATAAAAATCGTTGTTTTCATCACAATGAAAACTTTGTCCATGATTTCAAAGTTTGTGTGTGACATCATGCGTCACAAAAATGTAGTCTCTTAAGTAACACGTCACTCAACTCCCGAGAGTCAAAACATCGAAACAAACGTCACAGACACGAACTGGTTTAGGCAGGTTGAACTTTATAATTGGCATGTCTTTGTCAGAACATTTGGAGCACAGTAATCTACCACAGTGACGACTGAAATATAGAACAAGCAACAATAAGATACTATATGAAGTAATGAAATGTTAAGACAAAATCTTTCGCATCATAGGTTTGTCGGAGTCGAACTTAAATTCCCAACTAATGTAAAGAAATGCCAAAACACCAGGCACTTCAGCCCAGGAACATGTATAATTAAGTGAGTCTAGGAGTAACAAGTAGAGGGAACTCAGACTCGAATTTTTATACATGATCCTGGGCCTATGACCAGGAATGTCTTATTTTATATGGAGAAATCAAAGGGAAAAAACTTTTTCCCAGTTCCTATATATTAAGAAAAAATAGCAGAGGTGTAAAAGAGTAGGAGGTCCTATCAAATTATAGTCCTACTCTCCATTGATTTATATGGTGACCTCTTTCCCTTATTATTATACACAATCAGTGCCAGTAAGGGCTGATAAGAAGGGGAACCATAATCCCTGGGGGACCATAATTTCTTTCTCAAGGTCCAATTGGCATTTGAATACAACAGGTTTTAATGTAAATTTCGATGTAAATTTGAACAGCTAGCGTAAATACCCACCAGTGGTGCTTTCTAGTTTTGATTCCAAACTTGACATGACAGTTGTTACATGTGTCTCCATCACTCCATGGAGGCTCCTTGGATAACATATCTGGAAATAATCATAGCATTGCATCGTAAGAAATCACTCAAATGCAAAAACCAATATGCTAAATTGTTATATATGAATTATCATTGAAATATGTATACTGCAATATGTTGTAATATTTTTTTCAACTGAATCATTAATTTGTACTAAGAGATTACTTGGTGCTCACTTCAATTTGGCAAATTTGGCAAATTTGAGAAATAAGCAATGAAATACTTGCCAGAATCCTAGGGATTATAAATAATGTATGTCAATTCTACCATGAGTACAATGTCTGATAGCTCTAGTATGGGGTCAATCTTATGAAGAGTAGTGCTATAATCACAAAATGATCTTACCTAAAAGTTTCACTAAGAGTTGTTTTGTGGCCACTGGAAAGTTAAATATGGAGTAACCCTGTCTGTTTATGGTTGCCATACATGCCCCTTGCTTTACAACTGCTCTACACAAAGCACCATTGCCATTCATATATGCTAGGAGAAGAACTGGAATATAGAGAACAGGGTCATAGGCTGCAGTTCTAAAAATAGGGTGAAATTTAAGATGAAAAAGGTATACTCACATCCAGTTTCAGTTTAAACTACATGTACACTCATATGTTTCTTACAAGGATTGATCTCAAGTCTTCATAAAACAACCTTACTGGCTACATTTAGCTTCATAAAGAGTACAGTTTTTATAATTTACTCCACATAACTCAACCTAGTGGCTTCATTTTATATCTCAAATATTCGATTTTATAGTTTTTTCTCAATACTCAACTTTGGTGGCAATATTAAGCTTTATAAAGATTCAGATTTTTATAGTTTACTTCTCAAAATTCAACTTTGGTGGCTACATTAAGATTCCACTTTTTATAGCTCACCTGTGTTACCATCATCATCAGGTTTGTCAATGGGATAGTCAGGCATACATTGCACAAAGAGTTCAAATATTGCAGCAGCGCTGTCTTTACCATATTGCCCTAGGTTGTGCATAGCTGTCATGCCCCTGAAACACAAATATTCTTAATTGATCAAATTAAATGGGGCGTGATCAAATTTGATGGACATGATCAATTTGGATCGGGCATGATCAAACAAGATGATACATGATCAAATATTGGACAGGGGATATTATCAGGTCTAATACAGTGTACATGTCCATGAATAGAAACTATATATCACTCACTTTGCATTGACAGCTTCAGCATTTATTCTTGATTCAGTAAGTAATGACTTAACAACACCCACGTGACCATGGTAACAGGCTAAATGTAGTGCTACAATTGAAAATAGAGCAAAATTATTTTACTGACATAAACTTGCATTTTTTTTTTTTACAAATTCTTACTTTTTAAATTTTTGTTAACTATAATTCTTGAGATTTTGTCTTTTCTTTATCTTCATATTCTATGTTCATCATAAAAACACTTACCTGTGTTTGCATTGCTATCAACAGCATCGTAATTGATGTTGTTCTCTATTAGAATACTAGCTATAACTGGTCTATCATGTATGGCTGCTAGATGCAAGGTTGTTTGGCTCTGGGGTGTTACATCATTTATCATTGCACCAGCTAAAAGCTACAACATCAGATAATGCCATAAGATTTTTTAATATTGCCATTATTTAACATTTATGAGCGCATGATGCAGTTCTGTTATACATAAACCATGAGTACTGACTGTAAGTTGGAATGATGGGGTGAGGCTTGCCAAGTGGCAAGTGTACTCTTCTTTTGTTACAACTGTACATTCTTTAAAATAAAATACAATTCACTGTATTTAGAGTCTGTCATGTTTCATCTTCAGAATATTACAGAGCTTATAGATAATTTCCGCATTAAAACTAAAACTTTCTGTAAGAGTGGTAGAACAGAATGATGATGAATATCCAGGGTGAACATGAAGATCTTACCAGATTTCTGACAATCATTTCTGAGCCCACTTGGACAGCTAAATGTAGTGGACTCAATTGTTGCGAGTCCATCACTTTAGAGTTAACATTAGCTTGGATTCCAATTAGGAATAGAACACTTTCAATGTCAGAGTTTAAGATTGCAGTGTGCAGGAAGTTTCTGCCTTTGTTGTCCATCTAGAAATATAAACAAAATGACGCTTGAGGAAAGGATGATATAAACTTGATGATCCTGAGATTACTTATCAACAAAATTGAATTGTATTCCTACAGATATTTGATTATTTCATTGGACTTGAACTTGTAGTCTGCAATTTTTCTCAGACTTTCTCTAAATATTCTCAAAAGAGAAATGCAAATTTTGGGGGGTTTTCATGAAGGCATAAGAAACAAGTCTTGATAATATGATAAAACATGGAATAGTCATGGCAACCAGGAGTGTTTATTTATATCTTACTTGCTCTGCTGCATCTGGCTTTCTGGCCAAGATGGCCTCCGCTGCCCGATTATTTTTATTCAACATGGCGGCAGCGAATGGTGTGAGACCCTGTTTATCACGAACGGCAAGATCAATGGCAGGATGTGACATAAGAAGAGAGATCAACACTGGATGCTGGTTGATGATTGCAACGTGGAGTGGTGTTTTACCTTCTGCATCCTGCAAAGTAAGATAACGGGCATTAAAGAGGGATGTGGCGTTAGGAAAGCACAATCAAGATCCCCTTGACTTTTTGCATGTTGAGCCGTATCACATATTCACCTATCTACTTACTAACGAAAAAGCCTCAAATCCACAGGCATTGAACTCCACCAGTGTCTCTACTAATTGTTCAAGCCCAACTGTGAACAAAGAATGTACCTAATCTACTTGGAAGTTGGACACTGACATTATCTGGAAATTGAAATTGGCCAGATATTGAGCAAACCTGGATATTGAACATACCTGGGCATTAACATTGGCGTTGAACTCCACCAGTGTCTGTACTAATTGTTCTAGGCCCCACTGAGAGCAAAGATGTAGAGGGCTCTGACCATCTCTTGCCTCCTCTCCCCCTTCACCTCCTATACCTGGCTTCCTGGCACTGTTCACATCACAACCACTGGAAGAATAAATTTGTGTTATTGGACTTTGTACTTTTGTGTGAAAATCTAGTGAGCCACCCATTGTCAGCTGTGACTATAATTGGATTCCCTTAGGAAAAAAGTTTAGGGCACTTCCCTTGAGTTAAGGAAAGTTTGGGGTTATTTTAAGATTAATTTATCCACAAACCTTAACATTAAGGTTAATGTTAACCTTAACCCATTTTTTACCTGATATTCCCCTTAATGTTTAAAATTAAAACCATGAATAACCCATGACGTTGATTTTAGGGAATATTTAGGTCCAGTTTGGGTTAAGTATCTAGGTTTAGTTCAGGCTTAGTTTACCCTTAATTTCTAAAATGTACACTTAAGATATATTGAGGCTACTGATTTGGAAACACATCAGCCATCAATGAAATAAATTAAATTTAAGAAACATTAAAGATATTTTGGATTTATCTATCAAGTGAATGGGAATTTGTTTCATCAAGGATAGGAAGTATTTTTTATTTATTTTTTTTTATTTTTTTTTCATCATTTACTTATATTACATACAATATATGAGTACAAATAAATATGAACACAACCGTAGAAGAATCAAATTACAATCAATCAAAAATACAGGCATATCGAATTAAAAGTTTTTGATTAAATTTTTAATCCACAATGCCAAAACAGTTTCCCTTTCTATGACATGGAATATAGATTCATAAAAATGTAAATTTGTAACAAAGGCTGTTCTTATATCGAATCTTTTCCAACTCTCATGATCTTCAGAAAAATTGCACCAATTATTAGACTCCAGATGAAATCTGGAGTCTATTGTTTTCGTCAGTTTTCTTATTATTCTTTTTATTCTTATTCTTATTCTAAACAAGTTTTCTCAATAACCGTAAGGTTTTTAGTAAAGTCAGTCATTTGGTCAATTTAGGTCCAGAATCTAGTTCCTCGGAAATTGGGTCAAATTTTTATCTAGGTCAAAGGTCAAGAACTAGGTCAAATCCAGTACTTTGTCACTTTTTTCGATTTTCTCAGTCGTCCTTCAATATTTTCGATCCGTTTTTTTTTTCATTGTGTTCCTCATAAAAAAGTAGAAAACCTAGAGTCGATTTAGTTTTTTGATATCTCAAACCGATTTCGAGATATCAGTGTCCGAAAACGAGGTCCAAAAAAAAGTTCTCCGAATCAAATGTCCAGGATATTAGTCTTATAGGACATTTTCTCAGGATTCTGAATCTGCAAACCAAATTTCGATCCGACTACCGGTTCGGAAGTTATGGCGTTTTTGAAAACTCAAAAATCGCTAAATTTGGTGCCCATGTTAAGTCAATGGGAAAAAATATTTTTTTGAAGTGAAAAATACGGAATTTAGACTGAGTTCAGCTTCATATAATCAAAGCCTTTAAAAGAAGGGGACCTCAAAAGCCATCTAGCTTCAAAATTTGGACACCGAAATGCCTAGGTCAAAATCTAGGTCAAATTCATAGGTTTTCCTAATTTTTTCGATTCTGACACTACACTTTAATTATATTCTTCGAAATTATGTATACATGTAGCCAAGAATATGCTAATAGTGTTAGCCTTTTGCCGTCAGAAAGTATTTTGACCCACTTTTGAGATATGGTGTCCGAAAAGTAGGTCAAAATAAAAAATTCTCCAAACTTAATATATGAGTTATGAATTAAGGGAGGAATTTTGTCAGGAATCCGAATCTGCAAACCAAATTTCGATCCGACTTCCGGTTCGGAAGTTATGGCGTATCCGAAAAGTAGGTCAAAATAAAAAATCTCCAAATTTAACGTATGAGTTATGAATTAGGGGGAGAATTTTGTCAGAAATCTGAATCTGCAAACCAAATTTCGATCCGACTTCCGGTTCGGAAGTTATGGCGTTTTGAAATTTCGAGAAAAATCGATCTGATGGTATCCTGATAAAAAGTCAAGAGTAGAGAAGAAAATATTGAAAAATTCATCCATCCTTCCTATCTCATCCTATCCTATCCTTCCTATCTATCCTTCCTTTGTATCTTTCCTTCCTATCCTTCCTATCCTATCCTATCCTATCCTGTCTTCCTATTCTATTCTATCCTATCCTTCTTTCTTATTCTATCCTATCGTTCTTTCCTATTCTATCCTATCCTACCTTCCTATTTTATTTATCCATCTTTTTCTGGATGACTCAGCTTATTCTGGATGACTCGGCTTATTCTGGATGACTCGGCTAAAAAAAGTGTAGATCTGGAGTCTGAAATTGAACTCGTTCAATTTCCAAAATCTAGTTATAAATTGTTATGCCAAGAATTGTTATTATGACATTTCTAAATTTGGTGATATTGTTCCCTGGTAAAAATCCAGTAACAATATGTTTGTATTTAATTTGACACTTAAACTTTTCACTTAACTCTTGCCACACATGTCTTACTTTTATGCATTCAAATAACATATGTTTCATATTGTGTAATTCATGACATATTTGACAATTTCTTGGAACTGTATTATTCCATTTAGATATGAGATATCCACATGCCAGTAGATTGTTCAATATTTTGAAATTAAATTCTGAGAAGTAATTATAACTCATGTTCATTAATTTCTGATTATAAATACTTTTCCATTGATTCTGTTCTGTAATAGTAAAACAAGTACTCCAGTATGTTTCATGGATATTTCTCTCAAATTTAGAATTTCTCATAATGTTATAGAAAAATTTGGCTTTTTTACCTTCAAGTTTAATAAACTGATTTTCAATCAAAAAATCTGTTTTATCCTTTACATTAATGAAGGGTAGATTAGTTTTATCACAATTTGAACAGACACTCATAATAGCTTTCTTGATTGTATATAATTCTATCATCCAGTTCCTCTTCCCAAGTAAAACCTGAGTACATAACTGACTGCTTTTAAAAGAACCATTTGGATTAAAAAATCTTTTACATAAACAAAACCTGACTGAATCCAGTTTTTAAAGAATAAAACTTTTCCTCTATTTTGGAATCGCCTGTTGAACCATAAAACCTCACTGAAAATATCATCACTTTTAATTTTGTCATTTGTTATGTATGTTTTACATGTGTTGAATGAGCAAAATATGTCCTTATAAAAAGGTGTTAATATGTTTATACCATTAATTGATTGTTGGTTAAAGTTGCAGTTCAAGAAAGTTTCTAATTTTAGACCTGTTTTCTTTATAAGATACGATGGAAAAAGTTTCCATGAAGATTTGCTAGTAAGTAGTCGATTTATCCAAATAGACTAAAGACTTTGTATTTTAAGCTTAATATCTACTACGTTTAATCCCCCATCCTCTATTGCTCCAATTATTGAATTTCTTTTCACTTTATCCTTCCCATTCCATAAAAAGTCGAAAAACATTCTCTCTATTTGTTTAACGATTGACTCCTCAATTTCCATAACTGTAAAATTGTATACAAGCTTCGATATTGCTAGGGAATTAATAATTTGAGCTTTTCCAAAATATGTTAATTTTCTCATTTTCCATGTTTGTAATAGCTGTTTTAGATCCCTTAGTCTTGATTCCCAGTTTAAAGAATGACATTTTTGTTGATCCCCAATGTGAATTCCAAGGCATTTTATTGGTGTATTACTGAAAAGTATTTCTTCAATGTATTCGTCCTTTGAATCCTGAAGAGAGCCCAGTTGTATGCCTTTAGTTTTATCAATGTTTAATTTAAGCCCACTAACCCTTGAGAATTTCTCTATTTTCTGTAATGCAGCTTTAAGAGATTCTTTATCTGATAAAATTAAAGTTGTATCGTCTGCATGTTGTATTATTTTGATATTTTTATTCTCTATTTCTATACCATGTATTTTATCATCATTTTTAATTGAAACGGCCATTACTTCTGTGCAAAGAATAAATAGCAAAGCCGATATAGGGCAACCTTGCCTTATTCCCCTATACATTTGAAAGCTATCCGAAAACCACCCATTATTTTGAATTTTCAAGACTGGGTCATTATACAAAATTTTTATCCATCTTTTGAAGTTATTTCCAAAGTTAAATTTGTCAAGTGTTTTGAACATAAAATTCCAATTAATAGAATCAAACGCTTTTTTGTAGTCCAAACATACTAATAAACCTGGTATATCTTCAATATTAGAGTAATCTATGATATCAAGAAGCAATCTAGCATTATAGCCGATAAAACGGCCAGGAATATATGCAGACTGGTCGATATTAATCAAGTTTTTTATCACTTTTTGTAATCTTTTTGCCAAAACAAAAGCAAGTATTTTGTAGTCATAATTAGACAGACTAATTGGTCGGTAATTGTTTAAAATGTACTTATCACCTTTTTTATACAATAGAGTTAATACAGATAATCTCATAGAATCACTCATTTCCCCCTTTTCAAAAATCTCTTGTAAAACCGAAAAATAGATTTCCTTTATTTCCTCCCAAAAGCATTGGTAAAATTCAGGAATAAGACCATCTATTCCTGGACTTTTGTTTCTTTTCAAATTCCTGACTGCAAAATCTATTTCAGATTGTAAAAGTTCATTTTCACATACATTTTTCTCTGTTTCTGTTAGAATATGATCCAGGTTAATATTTTGCAAAAAAGCGTCTATGTCTTCAATGGGTATGTTATCAGATGAATATAGTAGTGAATATAGATAGGAAGTATAGTGTCACAATGGATTCTACTTTCTTTAGATGATATAAAGTGTGAAACCATGATTTTCATTAAGTGTCATCTAGTATACACTGTAAATGCCTATATTGGCCATGTTAAGACATTTTACAAATCAGAACTATCGCTAGATGTCATTTTTATTGTTAGCCAAAAAGCAAAATATAATTAATTTGTACCGAAAAACAACAAGCTTAATTAACAAAAATGATGCATGATTCTCAAACATATCAAGAGAATCACACTTTTTTAAGGTAAACGGCTAGATTGGCCATGTTTAGGCGTCTTGCAAAACATAACTATCGGGTATTGCCATTTTTATTTTGATAAATTTCTTGTGAGCCTTAAAGCTAAATACTGGTC